TTTTAAAGATTTTATTTATTTATTTGACAGAGAGAGATCACAAGTAGACGGAGAGGCAGGCAGAGAGAGAGAGAGAGGGAAGCAGGCACCTGGCTGAGCAGAGAGCCCGATGCGGGACTCGATCCCAGGACCCTGAGATCATGACCTGAGCCGAAGGCAGCGGCTTAATCCACTGAGCCACCCAGGTGCCCCTACGTGTCAGTTTTTAAAATTTAAAGTCAGTAATTACTATGTCAAATATACTTCAGTTTTTTATAAAACGATTTAAAAATTGAAAATAAATTTTAGTTAAACATTGAGACTGTCTCAGGAAGAAATGGGCTGTCTGTCATCGCAAGCTGGGGAGGGACACTTACAGCCTGAGCCGGTACGATCTTGGCAGCCAGCGGTGCAGGCGATACGCCGTGTGGGCCAGACAGAAGTGAACCATGGGGACGCTGGTCGTTGTGCACCGGGAGCAAGGCTCAGGATCCAGAGCAGCCCTGTTAGAGCTCCCAAACCACTTCTTCACCCATCTGTCCCCAGCTTGTTCCCCTTCCCAGTGCAAGTACTCTGGTACCCTGCAGGAGGAAGTGGTTTTCAGCTACGATGGACGCTCACTGTAGCTTAATTCTTCTGTGGTTTTGAAGGTCCGAGCTCAAGTTGGCTGCATTCACGGGGAATTAGTAGAACCGAGCTGGATATTTGAGATGCGTTGTGAATGTGACCAGGGAGAAAGCTTTCTTTAGCTGAGCGATCAGCTTCCCCGAGCCCCCTCCCCAGTCTGTCCGCTGGGGAGGTCCTGGAAACCTGAGTGCATCCCTAAGGTTAAGGAAGGGCTCCAAGCTCTTTGTTCTGTCCTTCCTGAACAGCAGGCAGCTCCCTTGGGGACCCATACCTCTTGTTCTTAGCTTTATTGTCCTTGCTGCTCACAGCTCAATATCCTGGGGTGGTCAGGGAGGTGGCAGAGAGGAGTGGTGCCTGAAACTTGAGGTGGGCGGGGCTGGCCAGTTACCCTGGTTTCCCTGCGGGCCTAGAATACTCTTGGAGATGTATTTACCACCACCCCGTAATACCATAGGCACTTTGTATGGAATTGGGGGAGAGGAATGGGAGGCGTGGGAACGAGCCTCAAGTGATCCCTGGCATCATCCTTAGGCCGATAATTGAAAGGTAGGACGTTATTCCTACGAATCAACACTTAAAAAAAAAAAAACTGTATGGAACATTACCGACCTTTCTGTCCTTTGTTTCTTAACAACATTAGTGTCCCCCTGATCCCTACCAATATGCTTTGTTGGGAGAAGACCTCAAATGTTTATTGAATAAATATTTCTTATTTCCATTCTGTCTACTTAAATTAAGGCACTCATGACTTTTTTTTTTTTTAAGATTTAATTTATTTATTGGAGAGAGTGAGACAGAGATAGTGAGAGGACAGGAGCAGGGAGAAGCAGGCTACCCACTGAGCAGGAGCCCGATGCGGGACTCGATCCCAGGACCCTGGGATCATGATCTGAGCTGAAGGCAGATGCCCAACCAACTGAGCCACCCAGGTACCTGGCACTCATGACTTTGAACTGGCCTTTCTGTCTTGTTTTGCCCCTTCCAAGTAATCCCCTAGCATCACCATCATCAGTATTGTCACTTTCCTCCCAAATAACAGCTAGCACTTATTTTTACACTCTGCTAGGCAGTATGCTAAGCACTTTGCCATTGATCAGAGTAAATTCTCAGAGTAACTGGAATTGGTTGTCACTGTCTCTATGTGACAGATGAGGAGACTGAAGACACATAATGAAGTGATTTGGTTAAGTTGGTAAAATTGAATAAAGGGTTTTTTGTGTTTTTTTTTTTTTTTAAGATTTTATTCATTTATGAGAGACGCAGGGAGAGAAACAGCCTCCCTACTGAGGAGGAGCCCAATGCGGGACTCGATCCCAGGACCCCGGGATCATGACTTGAGCTGAAGGCAGACACTTAACCATCTGAGCCACCCAGGTGCCCCCCAAATGAAGGTTTTAAATACCCACATCTTCTTATTTTTCTAAAGTGGTTGTTTATATAGAACCCTGTGGTCGTTCCATCCTGTGGTCATTCTATTGCTCAGAGAGCTTCAGGGGTTCTCAATGCCTCACATTCCTCAGCTCCTCAGCAAGGAGGGCTCATTTCCATTCTGCACAACTCAGTGTATCTTGCATTTTTCTTCTTCTTCTTTTTTTTTTAAATATTTATTTGACAGAGAGAGATCACAAGTAGGCAGAGAGGCAGGCAGAGAGACAGGGGGAAGCAGGCTCCCCGCTGAGCAGAGAGCCCGATGCGGGGCTCGATCCCAGGACCCTGAGATCACTACCTGAGCTGAAGGCAGCGGCTTAACCCACTGAGCCACCCAGGTGCCCCTGCATTTTTCTTCTTGATGAGGGAGCCTAGGAGTCAGGAACCCTAGATGCTCGCCCTGGTTCTGCCACTTCCTGGCATAGAATCTGAGCAGAAGTGCATTGGTCACCCTAGCACTTGCGTCTGAACACTAGTGGGCTACAAATGAATGGTCCTGACACGGGTCTTCCGAGCACTGGCCAGTCTGAGAAGTGCACTGCAAGGTGTTGTATAGTCTTAATTTCCAGCTTGTTTTCAACCCATTTTTTTCTCTGAGATGTTGTAATACTGAAAAATTAGAATGTCCAATGGTAGAAGATTAACTGGAAAAATGAAATATCTAACAGTAGCTTAATTTTGTAACAAGTTAAATGACTTTGGTCAAATTTTTGTGTGTTTGCATGGTGAAGGTTAAATGATCATGTGTGTGAAACCATTTGACATGTCAAAAAGTGTCATACAACTGTTTGTTTATTGCCATTTAATTATAAAAATACTCTGACCTCTAGAAGTCATTCCCCAAAGTTCCCAAAATTGCTTTCAGCAATTCGGCGTCACTGGGATTATGTGTATAAGCTCTCAGAACGATTACTTTGAAACATCATTTGGATACGTAAGAATATTTTTTAAAACTTTATAACAACAAAACTGTTTTTTTTAAAGATTTTATTTATTAATTTGACAGAGAGAGATCACAAGCAGGCAGAGAGGCAGGCAGAGAGAGAGGAGGAAGCAGGCTCCCTGCTGAGCAGAGAGCCCGATGCGGGGCTCGATCCCAGGACCCTGAGATCATGACCTGAGCCGAAGGCAGCGGCTTAACCCACTGAGCCACCCATGCGCCCCAACAAAACTATTTTTTGATGGTTAGTAAGCAGTGTTGATCAAAAAAGATAACCCGGAACTGAGTGTTTTGACTTCAAGGGATAGAAAGGTTTATTGTGTCAGGGAGCAAGAATTCCTTCCCTCTCAGGTCTTTCTAGCTTAGGGAACTAGGAATCAGATTGACATGAGAAAGATTACTTGGAGAAAATCAAATTTAATGGAGTGCATATGGGGAATCCACAGAGACATGGAAATTCCAAAGACAGTCAGGCAGAATGAGGCACATTATGTCATTCTGCACTAAGGAGAGGGGAGCGGGGGTCTACGACTCCAGAGGAAAGGAATGCGCCTCAGAGCAGCAAGAAGAGCAGATGTTTGGTCATTAGCGGATTGTCCTGCCGTACGTATGGATGGGTCTCGGATGAAATTTATCTCTGCTAATGACCCTTATTGTGGGGAAGACCCCAATTTAGATTCTTGTATGTAATTAAGGGAGGGACAAAAGTTTCTCTTGAGCCTGCAGGGTCTCAACTGCCTTCCAGTCAAAATAGTCCGCATGGGGGCGCCTGGGTGGCTCAGTGGGTTAAGCCTCTGCCTTTGGCTTGGGTCATAATCTTAGGGTCCTGGGATTGAGCCAGGATTGAGCTCTCTGCTCAGCAGGGAGTCTGTTTCCCCCGCCACCGCCTACCTCTCTGCCTGCTTGTGATCTCTATCAAATGGGTAAATAAAATCTTAAAAAAAAAAATAATAATCCGCATGCCAGAGTGGTATTCTGAACCCTTGCAACTGACTCCCAGCACAAGGAATGAAAAAGACCCCCACAAAGATACCACATTATGCCACTTTGGGGCACCTCCCACAAACCTGCCAAAAAGAAAAAAATCATGTAAAACAGGAATAGGAGTCAGAATGGCATTAGGCTTTCAACAGTAGTGTTGGATGCTAGGAAACAATGAAGAAGTGCATTCCTAATTTTATTCTTAATATTTTTTAAAAGAATTTATTTATTAGAGAGAGAGAGAGAATGAGCAGGGGGAGAGGGAGGGGAAGAGGGAGACGTAGACTCGCCGCTGAGCAGGGAACCCCAATGGGGCTTAATCCCAGGACCCTGGAGTCCCAGGACCTGGGATCATGACCGAACGCTCAACTGACTGAGCCACCCAGGCGCCCCCAGGCCACTGTTTTGAAGGGCAGGTTGTCGGGGAGTCCTATTTATTTGGTAGTTGATAATGTCATTGTATCAGTTAACTGTGACCTTAGTTGTGCATCACAAAACTTCGGCAGCGTGCAAGAACGAACACTCATTTTTGCTCGTGAGTGGAGGGTCAGCTTGTGGGTTTGTCGATGTAAGCCCAGCTCGGCTGATCTCGCCAGGGCTTGCCTGTGTGTCTGAGCATGTCATCTGTGGCCTGGCCGGTGCCGGATGGCCCCCGCCGCGTAGCTGGTGTGGTTGGCTGTCCGTCAACAGGAGTCCGAGCTCTCTCCTGCGCAATCTGTCACCGTCCAAAGCAGGCTGGCCCCGGCTTGTTTTCATGGCAGAGGCAGGCGTCCAGAAGAGTGTGGAGCTGTGCAAAGCCTCAGAGGCCTGGCTCAAAACCAGCACACTGTCATGTTTGCCACATCGTTTTGTCCAAAGCAAGTCACAAAGAGGGGGAAGAAGATCCCATCCCTGTACAGCAGGAGCTGCAAATGTACCCTGAAAAGGAAGGGTGGAGAATGGGGCTGTCTTTGTCATTGAAGCCACAGGGTTTTGTCCATCCACTTGGAAGGTGGAAAGACGTCCAAAGAACTTGAACTGAACTTTTTTCCTTCTTCCTTTGCAGACCACAAGCAAAGTGTCAGAGTTTTCCATTCAGATCAACAACTTCAAATTCTTAGCATGGAAAATTCAGAGAAGACAGAAGTGGTTCTTCTTGCTTGTGGTTCCTTTAATCCTATCACCAACATGCACCTCCGGCTATTTGAGCTAGCCAAGGACTACCTGAATGGAACAGGTAGGAACAGTAGCCAGGGCACTACCCCAAATACGGCGCTCTGGCGTGTTGGGTATTTTAAGCTGAAGGAGTTTGAAAAAAATGGCAGAATCAGGAAGATCCCTCTCACCTCCTCCCCGCCATTCTCCCCTGAAGCAGCTCATAAAATCCTGATGTGAGGGATGCCCTCCATACTCTGGGAGCAGAGGAGTGTCCTTATTGCTAAGGGCAGAGGGATGCCGGGAAGAATCCAAACTAACGGAGCGTGCTGAATTTCCCCAAGTTTACGGCACTTGACCTCGTACTCTGCCCTATCACATGTCTCGGGGCCGGTCCACTCTTCACTAACCTGGCATAAAACCACTCAGGTTTAGCTGTTTCTTGGGGTCTTCATTTCCTGACGAACGCACCATGTCACATAAACCTTCTATTAAATAAATGTCTACATTTTTCTTCTGTTTTTCTGTCTTTGTCAGTTCAGTTTTTCGGAGCCAGCCAGGGACCTGAGGATGGTTGAGGAAAACTTACTTCCTCCCTTACGTAGTATGTTTTGTTACATAAGTGATCATTCGTATGCTGCTAGATTGATGGATGGGGGCTCACGCTCACTAATAATCCTAATAATCAGGGGACTAAGATAAAAAGATGAAATCTGTTTTGCCCATCACATCGACAAAAATGTTTAAACTTGTTGGTGTCAATTATGAGATGTTGGATGAGATGTTGGGGAGAAATGGGCTCTTAGATACACTATAGGTGGCCGGTACAAATCGATTAAGGCATTTTACAAGGCAATTTGGCAATATCAAAGTGTACATTGTGTGGGGAATGGGGAGTTAGTGTTTCGTGGGGACAGAGTTTCAGTTGGAGAAGATGAGAAAGTTCTGGAGACGGACAGTGGTGAGGACTGCACAGCAGCGTGACTACTTGATGCCCCTGAACCGTGCGCTTAAGATGGTGAATTTTATGTTCTGTTTCACCTCGTGTATAAATGAATGTATGAATGAAACAATCCCTGTTTTGGAAAGGAGGGGGTCTGTTATAAAACCATATTGATGATAATATTTCCTGTGCATAAAATCGAACTTGTTACACCTCACATCAAATCTGACTCTTCATCCAGGAAAATACAGAGTTATCAAAGGCATAATCTCTCCTGTTGGCGATGCATATAAGAAGAAAGGACTCATCTCTGCCCACCACCGAGTTATCATGGCAGAACTCGCCACCAAGAATTCAGAATGGGTGGAAGTTGACACCTGGGAGAGTCTTCAGAAGGAGTGGGTAGAGACGGCTAAGGTGCTGAGGTATTCACAGCGAAGTCGGCTTTGTCAGTTCTGCGGGATGAGTCGGGTACTTTTTGCCATGTTCTGGTGCTGCCTGTGTTTGTGAAATGCAGATTTGCAAACTGACTTGCGTTGGGAGGGCTTCCGGACTATGGTTATTTCTTGGGTGTGGAGCACAGCAGCAGAGCTCAGGGGTTCCTTAGACTTTATGCCTTTCCTATGTTTTGAGCTGTTTGCATGCTTGTTACTATGTGTATCTCTACGAGAGAGGATATATAGAGAAGACTGCGTGGCCTGTCTGTGCCCCAGACGAGAAAGACAAAGTCGTTCAGACTTTGTCGTTTATCTTCTTAAGTATAAAGGAGAGAGGCAGGTAATTTAAGCGAGAGAAGCCATGGTGCTTGGTCATGGGTGGCCCTGATTTTATGTGCTGTTTCCGCGACCACATAGGGGGGTTGTCCCAGATCTCTGTGTTCACACCTTTGAAACAGTTCCAGGTGAGGATTCAGAAACTGCAGTGAGCGACACCTAATTATTGCTTAATGTTATCTTGAGTATCAGAGAGCTTTCTGAAAAACCTTCCTGTGTAATGTCTGCTCTTAGAGTTCTGAGCTCTCTGTTTCTAAGCATATCAGTTAGGATTTCAACAGGAAATAGGAACCACTCTGAGTGTTTTTTGTTTTTGCTTTTTTTAAAAGATTTTATTTATTTGTTTGTTTGTTTATTTGAGAGCGAGAGAGAGGGAGGAGCAGAGGGAGAGTCCCCGCTGAACACAGAACCAGCTGTGGAGCTTGAGCCCCCAACCCTGAGATCATGACCCGAGCCAGAATCAGGAGTCAGATGCTCAACCGACTGAGCCACCCAGGCGCCCCAAAAGCAGACAGGTATTTAGGTGCTCGTGCAGAAGTGTCAAGGGGCTTGTGGCAGGGAAGTAGGGTCTGTTCCAAGGTCATACCGCCTCAGCTGCAGTCAGCATTCAGGAAGCTGTTCCTTCCTCTGCCGCCACAAATGCTGCTGTCCTGGTCTCCTAAGGTTGGACAGTGGAATATGGAGTGTGGCCACCACGCTCATGCCTTCAGAAAGATGGCGTCTGCCTCCCTTCTTCCTTTTGAGTTTCTTGTGAGTGGATCTCATCAGCAGAATCTCTGTCACATTGAGAACACGCCGCAAGGACCTCTGGGAACTGTGTTTAGGGGAGGACTGGACGCCGAGCCCACAGACGCTGTGCAGCACAGCCGCTTAGGAAGAGGGACTTCAGGCTTGGCAGGGAAAAGAGTCTGCTGTCTTCTGGACAGCAGTTCTCGCGTCGGGCACCAGGCTTCTACGCGCCCGCCTTACCTAGTCTTCACCCTCTGGTGCCACAGCAGCCTCACTGTCCGTTACATATTCACTCGGCTGCTCGAGAGGGGAGGGAGTTAGGGGCACAAAGGACCCACACTTGGCTTCCCAAACTGTAGCTTATGTTTCCTGGGTAGCTTCGCAGTTGTAACGCGGTGGGCCTCCTGCTGCCACTCCAGAAGAGAGCTACACACAAGTCCTGCCTGTGGTCCCTTCCTTTTAGGCTTCAGGCGCTTGTCCCATCCTTGACTTTGTGGTTCTCCATTACTAGGTCAAGCCACACCCTTCAGTGGTCAAGAGTGTGGGCTCTGGAACCAGACTGCTGGGGCTCAGATACTGGCTCTGCTACTTATAAGCTAAATGGCCTTGGGCAGGGGCACCTGGGTGGCTCAGTCGGTTGAGCATCTTGACTCTCGATCTCGGCTCGGCTCTTGATTGCACAGTCATGAGTTCGAGCCCACACTGGGCTCCATGTTCGGGGGGGAGCCTACTTTAAAAAAAACGGCCTTGGGCAAATTAGAGTTCTCTTCTCTTAATGGGGATAATAATTCTGACATAATAATGGACCATAAAGTAGTTGCTTTATAATAACCAAACCATTCACTCAATCAGATTGTTATTGAATGACTCCTATGTCCCGGGAGTCCACCAAGAGCTCGAGTTACAACTCTGAGCCTTCAGTTCTGTCCACTGTGGGAATAATAATAATGACAATATTTATGGCATGGGTTGTTGAAAAGATTTAATCAAATGATCCATCCAGAGGACTTAGTGTAGTACTTAGCACATAATAAATAACTAATGTTAGCTCTTGTTATTATGACACACACATAAAGCTTCGCATAATAATAGCCACCATCTGTGGTGCTCCCAGGGTCTCCTTGCTTTCTCTTCCCAGTAGCCGGTCCCCAGCACTGCTGGCCAGCGTCCATGATGATCTGGCAGTACTGGGTACTGGTCAGCATTCATTGTGACTGGTTAGCCATCAGGGGTTCCTGTGGTTAAAGGTTGTTAATATCACACAGCTTTAACTTTGGGTCAGAGGCTCTCAGGCATCTCCAGAGAGACAGAATTTTAGTTGAATGTTGTGAGAAGAGAAATGTTCTGTTGCTTTGTTGTTTTATAGACACCATCAGGAGAAACTGGAGGCTGGGAGCTGTGATCACCAGCAGAACGCACCTATGCCGGCAAGGCCCGGACAGAAAAGGAAGTGGGCTGAACAAAGACAAGACATTAGCCAAAAGAAATTGCTAGAGCCAAAACCAAGAGGTCTGTTTCATCAAGACTTACCAACTAGAGTAGATAAGATTCTAGAGCTGAGCAAGCCCCCTTTGTATTTTCATTTCATATTCAGTATGTGTGAGTGCCCAGAAAACACCCGTTGTTGGTTTTGTGGAGGGAGGGGCGGGGACAGAGAGGAAAAGGCATTTTGAGCTTACTTCTCCTGCAGTGGTCCTTAACTTCTGTGGTGTCCTAGAGCTCTTTTGAGAGTCTGACTCTGATCAAAACTCTGAACCCTGTAGCCAGAAACACACATTGTTGTGTTCATTTTGATGCAGAGCATTATTAGCCAAGCAGAGCCTGAAACTGTGTTTTCTTCTTCTTCCCAGATGTGCCCAAGATAAAGTTGCTGTGTGGGGCAGATTTATTGGAGTCCTTTGCTGTTCCCAATCTGTGGAAGAGTGAGGATATCACCCAAATTGTGGGAGACTACGGGCTCATATGTATTACTCGGGCTGGAAATGATGCTCAGAAGTTCATCTACGAGTTGGACACGCTGTGGAAACACCGGAACAACATCCACCTGGTGAATGAATGGGTCACCAACGACATCTCATCCACAAAGATCCGGCGAGCCCTCAGAAGGGGCCAGAGCGTTCGCTACTTGGTACCAGACCTTGTCCAAGAATATATCGAAAAGCATGATTTGTATAGTTATGAGAGTGAGGAGAAGAACGCCGGTGTCATCCTGGCTCCCTTGCAGAGGAAGCCTGCAGACACTAACTCAAATTGTACAGCATGAGGTTTTGGACTTCCAGCTTGGGAATTTGAAACAGTCTGGCTGTTAGGAACTGGGAAGAGGAATTGTGATCTTATGTCATAAACTAAAGCTATCTAAAAGTCTGGTAAAAATCAATAGTAGATTCAGATCAGGTTTCTCATTCTGTTGGAGATTGCTAAGATAAATGTGTCCAGTATGGTCTTTTTTTTCCCTTCTTTTTTTTAAAAACATACAAATCCTTGAATCTTTAAAATGGGATTAACAGCACGAAAACCAGAAGATATTCAATTTAACTAAAAAGAAGAAGTAAAAAAGGACATTTTGGCTTTACCACATGAGAGGAGCAAAGCGGGAAAAGCAAGAGTCCGTTTAAAATGCTAAGTTTTGGGGCACGTGGGTGGCTCGGTTGGTTAAGTGTCCGATTCTTAGTTTCGGCTCAGGTCGTGATCTCGCAGTCATGGGATCAAGCCCTCGTACCAGGCTCTGTGCTCAGCACAGTGTCTGCTTCAGGTTCTCTCTCCTTCTCCCTCCTGCTCACTCTTTCAGTCAAACAAATAAATAAAATCTTTAAAAAATAACTATTTAAAATCCTAACTTAAGTTATAAAGATAAAGAACATTTTGCACATGCCTGTTTCTAGTCATTCTTCACCAACAGTGGCCAAGGAAATAATTCTTAAAATAGTGATTTTGTAAAATGTACCTGTGACCAGTCATCTTCAGCTGTCCGAAATACAGGCTGTGAATGTGCGTGGTAGAAACTGGACACTAATGGTTCAGTATCTGGCACACGTCGGAAGCTGGCCAGTTAGCTTTGCCAAGACACATCTGCCTGGAGCTCCACCTTTGGAGCTGGGAGAAAGGTCCAAGCCTTCAAATGTTCAGAAAGGTGCACCGGTGTTTCTGCTGCCCACACCAGAGGAACTGGGGAAAGGAATTGTGATCCTGTTTCATAAACTAAAGCTTAAGAGTTTGGTAAAAACCAAGAGTAAATTAAAATCAGGTTACAGGTTATGCATGTTCTCAGCACAGCCTCTGGTGGCTCTGGCCCTCTGCCGTCTTGCCATCTTCAGGAATAGCCTCAGAGAGGACATCACGCTACCTGGAACAGAGAGAACCACAGAAAATGAGGGAATTTACTCAAGGATTTTATTAAATATCAGTGCTCTTAGCCTTTCTTTCTTTTTTTTTTTTTTTTTAAGATTTTATTTATTTATTTGACAGCGATCACAAGTAGGCAGAGAGAGAGGAGGAAGCAGGCTCCCCGCTGAGCAGAGAGCCCGATGCGGGACTCGATCCTAGGACCCTGGGACATGACCTGAGCTGAGGGTAGAGGCTTTAATCCACTGAGCCACCCAGGTGCCCTGTGCTCTTAGCCTTTCTTAATAGCTTAATAAACCAAAGATGAATGGAGATCCAATGAACGTGGGAAATGCCACACTGGGTGAGCTCAGCGGTTCCCCCAGCTCAGAATTTCTGGCACTGACAAATGGCTGGTTGGAAGAAAGTTCCATGATCTCAGTCTAAAACTCTTGAGTTTCTGAAGAGCCCTGCTGTTTCTGTTCCATTCCCCTGTGAATCTGCCATTTGTGAATTTAAGCAGAAAAAGGGTGTACTTTCTTACCCTTACCCTTTTCTATGCACTTTAACCAAAGTAGAACTCCCAAATAATAACTGAGGTCATTATTACGTCATAAACGCAGTTACAAATGCAGGCTTGTTATATAGTTGGGTGTTGACCAAAGTTTTGTGGAGGTTTTACCAACAGGTAAAGCAACAAGACTAGAAATAGCTTTTACAGAGTGTTACGATTCATGAAATCATCCTGTGATAGAAACGACTAAAATTGCTCGTGAAAGAATAATTTACCCTTTTGCAATTTATATTCACACTTAAACACCATTCGAGAGGAAGGGTTTATGACTCTGTGAAAGGTTAAAACTGTGCAGTTGTCCAGTCAAATCTGAGTGCACAGTTGCAAAGGGACAACGCGAAAGCCGGCCAACATACATTCTGCCGCTACTGACTTCCTCTTACTGAAGCCGGCAGGCCAGCTCGACAGAGACCCGGGAGGCATGCAGAGCCTGCCACCAGTAGGCTTCGGTCTCTGCTGACAGAGGGACTCGGATCATGGAGATGATGGCCATTTCTCCCCATCCTTAGCTTTTAGGAGTTGAGAGTTGAAGCGTTCCTGAAAAAGAACCATCTGTTGAAGTGATCTGGAAAAAGAACCATCTAGAAGCAGATGAAGCTACCAAAGTGTGTAACTTTGATTTCTTCTCCTGGAAAACTGTGCGTAGTTCATCTGACGTGTTCATGGAATGCAGAAGGGTTCCAATGCTGGGAACTTCTCTCTTTTTTATTTTGTAGAAACTTACACTGCGGTGCCTTCCTACCTAGAAGAGCCCCCTGCCCCGCTCAGCTGTGAGTATATTGAATTCGGGATGCCCTCGGTAAAGCATTTGAGGACCTCTGAGGAGACTTGGTCATAGTGAATGATCTTATTGTTGGCCTATTTCTGGATCAGTACCTTTGTACACGGAACAAGCTGCTTTTAGCTTTGTCCTAGTACCAAGGACGCTGCTACTGCCACAGCATAATCATGTAGTTGTGAGTGACCTCAAGGGCAGAATTTCCTGTTTTGACAATGGAAATTAGAACAATGAACTTCACAGGGGAATAAATGTTAATGATTGCTGTGACTTCCATTGAGGAAGAGGAAAATATGCCATTGTATTTCCTAGTATGGCTTTTTCATAATCTGCTCTTATAATGTGAATTTTGAGTTTAGGAAACGTGGAAAGCTGGTGTGTGGTGTGTTTGATGCGGGTGCTTTTTATGTGTTGTACTCCTTTGCCTCTTACATTGTGGAATTCGAGTGCAGCAGAGGAACAAAAGTCCTTTACTGGCAGCTTAATTCCGTTGAATGTACAACATCTGGGGAGATGTTTTGTTGTTCATGTGTTTAGGGGACAAGTGTGAACAGTAATCCATTTAGATGAGAGGAGCATGTTCTCCTTGATGATCAGGGGAGAGAGACTGAGCCAGAGGTATGATATAGGCTCATCTTCTTGCATCCAAGGATGCTCTTTCTTTTTCTGCCATCTTGAGGGTCTCCCCACAGGGTGGAGGGAAGCCTTCTCTGTCAGGGTCAGTGTGCATGGTAGTGGTGGGGGTGCTGTTTTTCTTACCCCAACCTCTGAGTCACTTCTGTCAGCCCAGAAGTCACTATATTGTGAGATGGGCTCCTTTAGCCTTGACTTTCAGGCACCACAGGACATCCCTTCCACTGCCGTCCTCATACTCCTTCCCACAGGCCCCGTGACCTAGAACACCCATCCCAGCGCCCACCCACCTGTGAGGATGTACTGTGTCTACCTCTGAAATCTGTACGTAGTTTACCAGCGGTGCTGTTTGAACTTCAGAACGCCAGCATTGACTGGGCACCTACAAGGTGCTGGGCCGGTGTGAGTCATGAGGAAATGAGGCACAGTTAGGTGACTGCTGTAAGTGACACACCTGAGTCTTGAATGAACAGTGTGTCTTCAAAGCCTGGGCTCTTAACTTCTTAATGCCTTATGTAACATAATACTCTTCAAAGAATGACGTTTTTGCCAAATCTTGAAGTTTTCATCCACCCCAAGCAGATGAGTACAAATAAAGAACCCTTTGAACATGTGATAGTCTGACGGTGACATGTGGTGTGTTCTGTCCACACAGGAGGACCAAGTGGACCCTGTCTGATGTTAGCAGTTCCTTGGAACAGGGGTGGTGAATGCCCAGAGCGGGGAGGTGGTGGGAGCCATAGTTCACTCTCGATCTGCAGAAACAGAACGAACATCACCCAGATGCCCAGGGCGGTACCACAATGCCACCCAGCAGCACTGTCGCCTGCAAGACAGAGCAGAAGAAGATTCTGCCCCAGAGGCGGGTTTCCAGGCAGCAGATGGGGCGGGGAGTATGGTCACCGACTCCCAGAGTCTCTGGAAAATAATGCAGTGATCGCTGGGGTCCTTCCAGCTGTAAAATGTGATCGTCCGGATGGACAGTTGGCACTGGCTCCTCACCACTCTGAGCTGCCACCTGTTCCTTCTCCTGCGTGTGACCAGGAAGCATTTCTTGGAACGCTATTATTTTGTGAAGTGCCAAGGGGAGTGCACAAGTACGAGGCAGTCTCTGCCATCAGGTTGCCTACGGTTAGGTGGCAAGAAGAGCAGGACTAGATCTAGAGCATCAGCAAGGGACTCCAGAACCCCCGCTGAGGGTTTCCTGAACATGGTGCCCCAGGCCCTCCCGGCCAGGAAACCGGGGTGGAGGGTCTTCCAGGGAAAGTTCCTCACACTAGGAATTACTTGTCATTTATCTGAAGGTCAGGGAGTTCTATTTCTGTTCTGTTTGGGGGACTTTTGTTTTTCTACCTTGGGCAGCCTTAGGTGGAGGAACAACCTGGGAGGAGGTACTGAGAAGAGGCACCACCCTCACATCACATTAAACTAATGCAGATCTTACTTCTAGACCTGGACCAAGCTCCCCGATGGCAATGCTTCCCTGCCTTAAGGGGTGGGAGGATGGATGGCATGAAGTGTCACAGTGCCCATGCCATCCTTTGCTTGAACCAGTACCAGACTCTACTAGGTGACACAAGAGTGGGTCCACTGCCAAGTGCCCCTCATTCATTCCCATCCATTCCTGTCAAGGAGGGGTAGCATTGGTACACAGGTTTAGGATCTCATCTTGGTGATAATCTTATGATTCGCAAATTGGTCAAATAAATTTCACCCGTTTCCAGAGATAAATTTTGGTCCTAGTCTAGAAGAAAGATCGAGAATTGTGGAGGAGAAAATAACTCTTATCCCACAGCCAAGCTCAGTCTATGTCCACTTCAACTGAACTTCAGCTCTACCCATACTAGATGGCCCTTGCTCAAGCTGGCCAAAAGCCATACCGACCAGCACAGATGCCAAAATTATTAGTAGTTATTTCTGTGACTTTCATGTTCAGGCCAACATTTAGAACAATAAGATTTTAAGGGTAGGAGGCAAGTGTGACGTCTCCATGTCCTGTTCCCTGAGTTTTCAGGAATATAAATAGGCTTCATGCTCTAGAAATCTGGTCAGAGTTTATCGTTCTGTGTCCATCAAATGGCAAGATATAGCTAATCCAGGATTTGATATCAGCCTATTATATTCCCCAAAGGAATCAATGTCTTACAGTTGGGAGAATCAATAGCCTCATTCTAGGTGAGGCAGGGCCACTCTGGTTTCTCAGTAAAAATGGCATTTCTCCTTTGGAAAAGCCTGAAGCCTTTCATTCCACAAACATTTATGGAGCACTTGCCAGGCATCGTGCTAGGCTCTGGGGATGCTGTAGAGGCAAATGAGAAGAACGTGGTCTCTGCTAATGAAAAAGAGGGTCAATAAACAAACCGAAAAAAGATAATTGTGGATTATGATAATTATGAAGGAAGTAAGCAGAGCTATGATACAGAGTAAATGGATATGAAAGGTGTATCAGAAGACTGTCCTAAAAAGGGGACTCAGAGATTATGGAAGAGAGTCAAGTATTTTCTTTTGTCCAAGTTCTAAACCAACTGAAAAATAAGATGGCAAAAAGCAACAAATGAAGAATGAAAATAGCATTAAAAAGTTTCTTTTAAGTAACCTCTACACCTAAGATAGGCTCGAACTCATGACCCTAAGATCAAGGGTCATGTGCTCCATGGACTGAGCCAGCAGGCACCTGGAAAATAGCATCGTTGCAACTGAGAAAGTCTGATAAAGGTTCAAAGTTGAAGCGTGCTGTGAGGGTCAAAGTGGAATAGGTAACCATGACAGATTATGTCTTTTCCAAATGGCTATTACAGGATCTCCCACCCCACTTGCCCTTCTTACAATGTGACATTGAGAAATGAGTTCCCAAGTCCCCTCCCTTTGGATTTGGGTATTCATGTGACTCTGGCAGAAATGATGTCATGTGACTTCAGAGACTAGATCATTTAAGACAGTAGGGCGTCTTGCTGGTTCTCTTGGAATGGTCCCTCTCAAAACCCAGCCACCCATGCTGTGAGGGAGCCCAAGCAGCTGGTGGACAGGCCCCCATGGATAGGAACCTGGCTTCTGGTTCCAAGCTAAGATAGCCAGCACTAATTTGCCAACGGTGAGAATGAGCCATTTTGGAAGGGTCTTCTTCTGCCCTGTCAATTGGAGTCAAGCTCCCCAGCTAATGCTACATGGAGCTGGGATGAGCTGTCCCCTGTGAGCCATGCCCAAATAGCAGATTTAAGAAGTTAATGATTTTTGTTACTTTTAAGCCATTAAGTTTGGGGGAGCCATAATAGCCTACACACTAACTCCCCTAGTCTAGACTTTGGAACAGTCTACCAGAGGGACACTTTGGGTTTATAAAACAAATACATGCTCAAGTCCATGTCAAAAGGAGAGAAGGAAAAAAAATGGAAATACCCTGCATTTAGAATGATTGATAGATCAGCTCTACCTAGTAGAGAAAAATGGTTCAGTGGCTGTTGTCCCTAAGGCAAGCAACACATTCTAGATTTTCCTGGAACTTTTCCACTTGTGGCAGTGAAAATCCCAAGTGTTGGGCACTCCTTCAGTCCTGGGGAAACCACGATGGGTAGTACCCTTGCTGCCCCCAAGCAGAGAACTCATTCCACTTGCACGAGAAGGAAGTAGGTTTGGAAAGAGGCCAGGGTGTTTAGGGGAAATTCTTCTCCATGGAGAGCACAATTAGAAAAGACTGTTCCCCTAATTGTGACGTTTGAACTGGAAGCCAAAAGAGCTAACCATGAAACAAACAAACAAACAAAAACAGAAGAAAAACATCCCAGGAAGAGGCAACACCATATACAAAGACCCTGAAGAAGGAAACAAAACTGGTGTGATTGGAGTTCCTGAGTTGGGGGAGATAGAATGTAACACTGTTGGAGAAGTATCCAGAAGCCAAATCAGGAAGGGCTTTTTGAACCACGGGAGAGAGTGCAAATTTCCTTTTAAGAAAAATAGGACAAGGGGCACCTGGATGGCTCAAGAGGTTGAGCATCTGCCTTCTGCTCGGGTCAAGATCCTGGAGTCCTGGGATCAAGCCCCGCATCGGGCTCTCTGCTCTGCAGGAAGCCTGCTTCTCCCTCTCCCACTCCCCCTGCTTGTGTTCCCTCTCTCACTGTCTCTCTCTCTGTCAAATAATAAAATCTTTAAAAAAAAGAAAAATAGGGGCGCCTGGGTGGCTCAGTGGGTTAAGCC